TTAATGCATACATAAATCTAACTATTTTCTGTTGGGATGGGTGTGTCTGGTTTGAACTTGAAATCAGGCCAACAACGCCATCTGGTGGTCTGCTGTTTATACATTTTGCATAAAACACTAAACGTTATATCAAAAAATGTGTAATATCAGATCTTTAGTGTCTTCAACGGGCCCTATATGGGCGATGGAGTAGCCTACTGGTTAAAGCGCCGAAGATCGAGGTTCGATTCCTCACATGGGTACAATGCGTGAAGCCCATTTACGGTGTCCCCCGCCGTGATATTGCTGGAATATTGCTAAAAGCGGCACAAAACCTTACTCACTCACTTAGGGGCGGTGGGGTAGCCGAGTGGTTGAGGCGTTCGCTTCTCACGCCGAAGACCCAGATTCGTTTACATACAGGCGTACAATGTGTGAAGCCCATTTATGGTGTCCCCCGCCGTAACATTGCTGGAATATTGCTGAAGGCGTTAAGCTAAACCCACTCACTCACTTATCTCCGTTTTGTTATGGCAATATCACCGAGATATGGTATCGTTACAGTTTACATGCATTAAACAACGGTTATAACGATGTCAAAGGAAAATATAACTTCGTAATACACGGAGTTCGTTGTACGCCTTTCTACTAAGATATTCAGCAATTGGTCAGGACCTAAAACAGTTCGTCATTTCCGTCATGTCGGAATAACCGAGTTCGTTTTATACTTAGCTTACTGTACATCCCATGAAAGCCAATGTGGACTCTAACATCAGGAAATCGTTTTTTTCTGAGACATTGGGAGCAGTGTGCGAAATAATTTCCAAATTTTGTTAGCCAGGCGCGTTAGCTTGGCCTGAAAGTTACTAGCCCACAAAATAATGCATTAGCCCGAAATTTGAAAGAAGGTACGCATTTCATCGTTAAGCTGCTAATATGATGAACGTTTCTATCAGGCCATAATCTTGCATGATTTAAAGTGTATTAATTTAACAAGTCGGAGAGAGTGATATATATTTACTAAATGACCCCATGAAAATTCACTAGCCAGTCGGGCCAGTTACTAGCCACGGGATAGCTATTTCGCACACTGATTGGGAGCTTCGCTGTATAATTCCGGAATACCGGAATCTACACTATCAATAAAAATGTAATGAGAACATTTTGGACCCATTACATCTGCCAATTTCCAAGCTCGGACAAACTGTATATGTTTAAAATATTTCTAATGATTTTTGTCATTTTTTTTTTTATGATTTCAAATTTGGGATTTCAGACATCAGATCCAAAATTGTAACTAAATTGTGTCTTAAGAAATCACGAACTCTTCCACTATGATGATACCTCTGACAAATTGTACAGCTGTTAGACATTATTAAGTGTGATATATTTTGTACTTGTGTCTAAGAAATAATTGTATGATTCTCTATTGTTGTTTAGCCGAGAATATGAGAGCCTGTTTGTAACCAGTTGAAAATGTAAGCTATGTATTGAAGAGATCACATCGGCATTTGGAAGAAATAAACTTAGTTATAATAAAATTTCTGTCTTTTTATTTTTAAGCAGACAGACAGACGGTCTTTAAGTAATCTAGTTTGGACAAGATGATCCAGTGATTACCAGCATGAGCATCGATCTACGCATTTCGGATTCGATGTCATGTGTCAGCCAGGTCAACGAGCCTGACCACCCGATTCCGTTAGTCGCCTCTTACGACAAGCATGGATTGCTGAAGATCAATTCTTTCAAGGATCTTCACGGGATATGCACACACACGCACGCACACATACTTATACATACATACATACATACATACATACGCACATAAATCATACATACGGTAGCAGTGGAAAATCTAAGTTTCTCAATATATCCATTTAATTATTTCATTGTATTTAAAACTTGGCTTGATTGTGACATGCTGTATCATTGTAACCCATGGGCGATGGGGTAGCCTAGTGGTTAAAGCGTTCGCTCGTCACGCCGAAGAATCCGGTTCGGTTACCCACATGGCATTCTCTTCCCACAGAGGTTACTTGTCATATCTTCCTACGAACCTCTGTTCTAATACGGCCATATTTCCCGGTTCTCGTAAAATCCCCTAGCGGCAAAAGATCGCAACACAAATTATCTCCCTTCTTTCTATCCAATCAGAACACGTGTTACATCGACTTAGATTCAACTTGACTAACACAAGCAAATGTGAGGCCACAAACATCCCCCATCTGCCGGGGACTTGTGTTGAAGTTACACACAAGACGTTTAATGGCTAGCTTGTCCGTTGTCAACGAGGGCGATGGAGGACGCCACTGATCCGCCATAACTTGACTGAGTTCTGTCTACAAGAAACGTTTGCGCATCGCGCAGGGGAAGAAGTTTAGTTTTCTCGAAGCATACGGAAATTACCGAGGCCTTGCGAATGATCACTTTTGAAACAACGTCGCTGATTGCACAACTAAATCTGATTGCCTCCAATCACGAGTCTTGAACGCTCACACCATGAAAGGGCCGTATTAGAACAGAGGTTACGTAGGAAGATATGACAGGAGTAACCTCTGTGGGAAAAGAATGCCCACATGGGTACAATGTGTGGATCCCATTTCTGGTGCCCCCGCCGTGATATTGCTGGAATGCTAAGAGCGGCGTAAAACTAAACTCACTCACACCTAGCTGTGAGTCCTGCACTCATATAATCCCTGAATGCGCTGTGAACGTTGTAAATACTAACCTTGACCATGTGCTTTTACCAAGGGACATCACTCCCAATGATAACATTAAAATCTTAATTTGGACTGATTGTCCCGAAAACGGAAGAATGACGGTTATGTAAGCGACAGAACACGTCCGTAAAAGAAACCTTTCAGAAAATATTTAGTCTCCAGTAGACGTAATTTATGGATGTTTTGTGAATGGATGCAATTTATATTTTTATTTTGTGGTATATGATTATATGGTTATTATAAAGTGTTCACTCCATAGCCTGTATCAGCTTCGGGTAGGACGTTGGGGGTAGTCTCGTGGTAAAAGCGTTCGCTCGTCCAACCGAAGATATTGCTGATGCTAATGCGTTTTATGGAAACAATGTTATCCATTAAAATTGGAAAGAGGTCCAAGTGACTTGGGAGATTCTGAACTTGACCTGAACAAAAAATTTAATTTGCTTTATTTAGGGATTTTACATTTCAAGAGAGGCCATTATTGTATGGTCTCTGGTTACAGTAAGGGCTGCGTGGAACGGAAAACAATATGGATCGTGAAACAGATTACTGCCGGTAGAACAGGACACGACTTCCCTTGTCAGTAAAACCTGATTTTCTGTGATCAACTGATACAATCATTTCGATTTTTCCTTTTTCGCCCAATGTTATCGGTTTCGACGGATAACGGTGACTGGTTGTTGTCTATTGTTGATGTCTGTTGATCGCCATCAGGTCATATTTCTGATTCATTTTATTCGCAATAAACAATCGATATTCCCAGTGTTCAGTATGTTACACGACAACTAGCGATTTATCCGAAACAGCTGGTGTCAAATATAATATATACAGTGTGTGTATCTGATAATGTCAACCTGCTTATAATATAATGGTTGATAAAGGGACTGGTTTTAGTCAAAGTGAATAGTTCAGAAATCTCCGAATCTGTTTGACGTAGAATAGTCCAAGAGGGTCTATATATGTTTAGTCTTTGTTGTGACACGTGACTTCCTGGAATTCAGTATGAATATAGAATGTCTGTCAAGTCATAATATTAATTATTTCCACAGCGTCGCATTTAACCTTGATCATTCAAGGTTACGACTGACGATTATGGGGCATCAATAAGTTTATTATCTTGCTTTTGCTTGTTGTTTAACGCCGCACCCGGCAATATTCCAGCTATATGGCGGCCGTCTGGACCAGACAACCCAATGATCAACAGCATGAGTATCGATCTACGCAAGTGGGATATGATGACGGGTGTCAACCAAGTGAGCGAGCCGGACCACCCGATCCCGTTAGTCGCTTCTGACGACAAGCATGGGTTGCTGAAGACCAATTCTAACCCGGGTGTTGATTGGTCTAACATCTTGCCACTTAAAGGTGGTTGATGGACATACAATATCACAACCGAGTGGTTATTGCAGGTTGTTGACCTCATTTATTCAGATTGGAACCCGAGAAGATCTCACGAAATCCTAATCACAGTGGATTAGTGATTTGGCTGAACATGTGGCATTGTGAGTGAGCGAGTGAGTTAAGTTTAACGCCGCGTTTTGCAATTCTCCAGCAATATCACGGCGGGGACACCAGATATGGGCTTCACACATTGTACTGATGGGGAATCGAACCCGGGTCTTTGGCGTGACGAGCCAACGCTTTAACCACTGTGCTACCCCTCCGCCCCTGTAACATTGTGCAAAGATAGCGTGGTGGTTGATCGTGTTGTCACACTCTGGTTTACTTAGAGTCCCAAGTAAAAGAAAGTACACACCTATGTTTGATGGTGTAAACACAGAAGAACAGGTTATTCGATGGCGATGGATCTGATACCGGAACCATAGTTGTGTTTAGGGACCTTTCCAGTTTTTAAGCGACTGTTTTTAGCTTTCAACGTTGTTTTTCGTTGTTGTCAAATCCAGATTCAAGTGTAAACTTTCTTTCGATTGACAGTATATATGTGGTCAGAGCGGATTTTGTGATTAAGCCGGAATGTTGCGGACTGTTGCGTAAACATTCACTTACTCACTCTGGCAGCCAAGAAAACAATGACACTGCGGTGCCAAGATCCGCTGACCACGGGTTCGAGTCCCTGATGATATTGGTCTGTTTAGATATTCATGTTAGCTATTTTCACTATTCTTGGAACGTCACTGTGCTCATAATTAAATTTGTGGTTTCACTGAAGTGTTTACAGCCTACAATCTGAGTCACCTTCCTCACGTGGCACACAGTAACGCATACGTCGTCATTTAACTGAAATACTTTCGAATACTTTGAGTGAGTGAGTTGGGTTTTACGCCTCTTTTTGCAATATCCCACTGACTGAGTTTAGTTTTACGCCGCTTTTAGCAATTTCCAGCAATATCACGGCGGGGGACACCAGAAATGGGCTTCACAAATTGTACCCATGTGGGGAATCGAACCCGAGCCTTCAGCGTGATGAGCGAACGCTCTAGCCACAAGGCTACCCGACCTCCCTGAAGATACTTTGCCCCAACTTACTTTTTGTACATTGGACTACAGAGCAGTTTACGCAGTTTATATCGTGTACCTTTCTTTGAAAATAGCTTTAAAATAATTTGTACATAAAATTATCAATTTTGAAAAATTTGTTGGTGGATTCAGCTGAAAAAGTAATATACGAATATGTTGTTTTTTTACGCCTTCAGGACAACTCATGTCGATTTTTTCACTTGCAATGGTACATAATCTATTCGATCCACACATATATATAAACGTATATAGATATAAACGTCAATGGTAAAATGATAAATTAAAAAATAAAGTCAAGATCCTAACTGGGTGATAAAATCGTATATAAAAATAAACTGAAAACGAAGCGTTTTCCGAAGACAACAAGTTCAACTTCGGTTTTGGGAACATTTGCACCCCACCCAAACAAAGCCAAGGGAAATAACGCAGGGTACACTTCCGGTATCCGATGAGTTTGTTTTGAAAGGTTGAATTGCAGACTGTTGGTTTTGTATGATCGAGTTATTTTAGAAGACACGATTGGTAAGTACTCACTCGACTTTTATCTGTAATATACAAGGGGTATTAACAATACTCCACGCCTTCAGCGAAACAAAATATAAATATAAATACTCCCATAAATAAAATCATGACTTGCGGCAAAGCGCACGTGCACATTGGCGCGGGCTTTGACAGCTGTCAAAGTGCAAAGTTTGAATGGATAAACCATTTTATGTTTACAAGGACTGTTAACCCAAACGCTGGAAGCAGATATTTAAGTGTCTGGTGCGTTTAAGTTCTCGTCAATGAGATTTTAGTAGAAAATAAGTTGAAAGGCTGCTCCAAATTAAATATTGACACTTATATCGTTTTTCGTTTGCCCATGATGGCAGTGAACACTTCTACAGGCCGCATTTTGTGTTATTTCCATGAAGCACGAATAATTTCTAGTTTTACATTAATTGATGACAAAGTCATTTTATGACACATTGCTGAATGTTCATGAGATATGATGGAGCCGATATGATTTCTCCGATTATGGGAAAATGGTATAATGACAAATAACAAGATAGCCATCATATTTTCCTATTTTATGAGTGAGGTCAGCATTTCAATCTAGGAAGGGTGGTGGTGTAAGTTAAAGAATTTAATCATCAAGGCTTTCAAGCCAAAGACTCGGGTTTGATTTCTGACATTGGTAATGTGTGAAGCTCACTTTCAGGTGTCTACCGCCATGATATTGATGGAATATTGCTAAAAGCAGCGTACAATCTCACTCTCTCAATCTATGCACCCACTGAGTTTTTTTTAAAAGGGTTCTTGTAAGAATGGCACCCATTCGTCACCACTCGCCCCTTTCCGTAACCTCCAAGAAGACTCATCCCCCTATCGATGCTTGTTATGTGCGAAAATACGACAAACCAATCAGAACGCTCGTAAATGAGTGCGGTGCTTTGATAAAAATAATCCCGAGTACTTAAATCGTTTAAGGCATTATGTCATTGTTTAAAAAATCATGAAAAATATATATCGTCATATTGAAAGTACAAAGAACGTAGCTAAAAGGATTGTGCTGCCTATTATGAAGTTTTTAATAAGAATCATGCGGTTGACAGTGAGAGATTCAAATACACACACGTGCGTTTGTTGACATAATGGCTCTCATGGGTCCAACGGAGAGTATTCTGACGATCTTGTGAGTTTGTTATGGAGATTGTACGTGCGCTTCGACCAATTTTAGGAAATGTAATTATAATCGCTTCGAGTTTCAAAACAATAGTATCGTACTTGTATGTAACTGATCAACCTTAATCTTTAACATTGGGCTTATATTTCACAGCTCTAGGGATATTTTAGTCTGACTGTTTGGTCATTCATATATTTCTTTGAGCGAATTCATTTAAAATTCCACAAGGGGTGTGACAGCAAGGTTACATGAATATTCAGTTTGAGAAACATTTTAGAGTCGGTTTTTTTAGTATCTGCTTTGGGATTTAATGTAGCCGAAACAATATTATTTTATTTGTATATTCAATAAAACAATTCCCATTTTGATTATTAAACCCTATTAAACAAATTAACATAATTGGAAATATAAGGTGAACAGCTGGTAATAACTACATTAGAATATGTCTTTAACAAATATGTTTTTCTCCTTTTAGTTGTATCAGAGAGGATTAATTCTTTAAGATAAATAAGTAAAAAAAAAACCAAAACAACAACCTAGCAATACAATGTACATGTGCTTCGGCGATATTAAGAAACATTGGAATCAAACAGGGTTAGAGTTATCGTTCTTGTTTAAAGTAGTTCTGATGTTCATGCGCCAATATGAAATCCTTCCAGAGGGGCACGAGTCGCTATTCGGCTTGTCCCGGAATAACACGAGTTGGTCACGAATGAATGGCACCATGGAACCTAGGTTGATAATGACCGCAACAGAATAAATACCCAGGATAGGATGTGTATGAAGGACTGCATGGTAGTATAGGTATACTCAGTACGCTTTTCAAATATGTATTGCAATATTTTTTTCTGAGAACCGATATATTGAGTAAAACAAAGTCATTTCACAACTGATGTTTCCTTCGTAATCTCTTGACAAAGAGGGGCGATGGGGTAGCCTAATGGTTAAAGCGTCCGCTCGTCACGCCGAACACCCGGGTTCGAATCCCCACATGGGCACAATGTGTGAAGTCCATTTCTGGTGTCCCCCGCCGTGATGTTGCTGGAATATTGCTAAAAGCGGCGTAAAACCAAACTCAGTCAGTCAGTCTTGACAAAGAGCAACCTTTATGTACTGTATATTATAAATAAAGAAAACAGAATCCCTAATTATCCAACCTAAAACGCTGTAGTTCTCAATATATCACAATACATATTACAATATTGGTACCTGAATTGCAGTGGTCATGCTGTTGATCACTGGATTGTCTGGTCCAGACTTGTTTGTTTACAGACCACCACCATATAGCTGGAATATTGTTTAGTACGGCGTTATGCGGTGTTAAACAACAAACTAATCAACCTAGAATGTAGGAGGGATTGGATCTATTTGCAGTATACAAGTACACTCCCTTGTACACAAGCTAAATATGGCTAGATATGGCTAAATGTACCTGGAAAATCAAAACCTTATTTTTTGCATTTATGATTATGTCTTTGATTTCCGACTAGACATTTGTTATAGTTTTCTTCCAGTATAACAGATCTTCACTAAAGTATCAATTGTGTATTTTAATATTTTTATCCATAAATGCTGTAATGGAAACACATAGATTTCTTAATCTCCTATGTTGGGTTACTGAGTGAGTGAGTATAGTTTTATGCTGCTTTTAGCAATATTCCAGGGATATTACAGTGGTCGTAAAATATAACGATGTTTACTTTTAAATTTGTACCTTTTTGCAACGTGAATACAAAGGCAGTCCAATATTGGAGATTTAATTGGCGGAATATCCTCCTGTATATTGTGTCTTCATTCCCCGTATCAGTGGCTCTATGGAGAAGGTTACAACTTTTGTTGACCAGGGTTTGTTTCCCTGAATGGTCTGTGTGATTTTTGTTCCCCTTGTAGAGTTATTGGTTAAATGAGAAAGGGGGGTGGTGGTGGGGTAGTATAGTGGTTAAAGCATTCGCTCGTTACACCGAAGGACCAGGTGTGATTCCCCATATGGTTACAATGTGTGAAGCCCATTTATGGTGTCCCCAGCTATGATATTATTGGAATATTGCTGGAATATTGCTAAAACCGACGTAAAACTAATCTGTGTCACTCACATTAAATGAGAAATCACTCAATAACTACTTGCTTCAAATACACAAGGAAAGGATATCATTTGAAGGATGATTACATGGTAAACATTAGTCATTGCAGTAGGGGGCGGTGGGGTAGCCTAGTGGTTAAAGCATTCACTCGTCACGCCGAAGACCTTTGTTCGATTCCCCACATGGGTACATTGTGTGAAGCCCATTTCTGGTATCCCCGCCGTGATATTGCTAGAATATTGCTAAAAGCAGCGTAAAACCAAACTCACTCACTTACTCATTGCAGTAGTCTTGTAGTAAAGTGTTTGCTTCTCGGGCTCAAGAAACCTGGTTCAATTCCCACATGGATACATTTGGTAAACCCATTTCGGTTGTCTCCGTAGAGGTGAGATACTGCATCAGCAAGCTCATGTGATGTCTTGTGTCTGGCTTGGAGATTGTTATTCTCTGAAGATGAAGGTCATGTTCTGCTTCGTGATATTTCTTTTTGTCAAGGAGGCAAGGGTCCACTTGACAGAATCTGCAGGGGGTGAAAAATACCATTGCCCGACGCCCGAGTCAAGTGGAATTCTCCGGTCAGTCAAGTATATATCCACATTAAACTTTACCGTGGTACAGTCGTGCCAAACTACTGAAATGTTCTGATATATGTATTTTGGTGATGATTTTCTGTTGTTCATTATTGATAAAGATTATTTGCAAAAGAAGGAAATTGTTAATTGTGGTCAAGTGAAATTAATATTTGGTCGAGTGGATTTTGAAAGTTTACTGGACCTGTGTCCAGTTTTGAAAAAATGTTCAACCCCTGATCTGTTTAATGGTGATTGCAGGGTAATTTGAGGATGAATTTAAACAGGTTTGTTTAACATATTGTGACTTATTTTTGTGCATTTCATGGTTTTAAGTAAGCGAGCGTTTAGCTGATATAACAAAAATTGTTTTACATACTATGTAAACTGAACTAATACTTGCCTATATGTATGGTGCTGAGCTTTTTGCAAGTGGGATAACACAAGCAGGCATCACTCCTGTCTATTACTAGGGGTGGGTATTCCAGAGAATTTCCATATTGTGATGCGAAAGCATGTATTGCGATATGTATTGCAATAT